CAGGCTACAGTGAGGGCCGTTCTGCTCTATGGTAGTGAGACTTTGCCGCTTGGTTCTGATTATCTAAAGCGCCTTCAAGTCGTTGACCATCGTTGCCTGCGCAGCATTGCTGGAGTCGGATGGCACCAGCGTGTCCGCAACGAGGATGTGCGTAGGCGAGTACTAGTTAGTGATAATCATACTAGCTCCCTAGAACAACAGATAGCACTAAATAACTTGCGTTGGCTCGGGCACGTGCTACGTATGCCTGGTCACCGCTTACCTAGGAGGGCCTTGTTCAGTCTACCAGGTGTAGGGTGGCGCATGGGTCGCGGTGCAGAAAAATTGACTTGGCAACGGGAAATGAAGTCAATGACGATCAAACTGGGTGCCGTTGGTTTGTCTCGCCTTTCGGGCTGGAGTCCACGTGACTCGCCTTGTGCTTGGCTCGAGACTTTACAGGACATGGCTCCCATTAGACACCAGTGGCGCGTCTTCTGCCGTCTTCTAATCGGATTGCCTGATTAAAGTGTGTTTGGTGCAGGGTTATCTGCGTGGTAATGGCTGATTATGACGCGGGGCAGTGAAAGCCGCAAGGAAGCTGTCTCGCCGAAGCCGCCTTATGTTTGCACCAGAGCCAGCTGTTTGTGATGGTATGTTGTCTACACAAGGTGTAAGCGCCTTGATCCGGAATATTTGCTTAGAGCATTAAGATTTTTAGGTAATTCCCCTCTTCTCTCCTCTTATTATTCTCTATTTTCATTGGTCCTCATTGTTGTATGGCAGCGAAGCATCAGTTCAAATGGCTGATGTACTGCTGTTTATGATGGTGTTGATGGTATCCGCGTCGAATCCGTAGGACTCACATGACCGAGCCCCCTAAGGTGTTTCAGAAAAATTATGCAGTCCACTGCATACACTTCACTTCGACGCAACACTTTCGTGTCCGCAACTCTGTCGCCCCATCCGATGCGCAAAATCCGTCCAAACACTGCTGATGAAACCGCTCGAGATATCGCACATCCCGCCGGTACATCGTCCACGTTTCACTGCCGTATAGAAAAGCGGACGGCGCCATGGATTTGTATACCATCAGCTTCGTGCCACTGGTAAGCTGATGGTTGTTTCACACTCGGTACTCTAGCTCCTGAATGCCGCCGCTGCCTTCGACACGCGGATACGAAGCTTGCTGTGTCTCTCTGCTGATCAGCTGACATCACACTCGTAAGGTATATATATATATATTTGTATATATATATATATATATATATATATATATATAGGTCTAAGAATAGACGTAACGCCATTAGAAACCATGGGGTTCAAAAGAAGGTACAGAAATAGTAAAAGAAAAAAGAACGCAACAATGTCCATGGTTCCATCAGAGGGCGAGATACTACCCGGTTGCCCAAGCCGAAGTAGGGTGTTGACTTACGGGACACCACCCGGAGCCCGCTGCCCATAAGGCAGCGGAGCGAATTCAGGAAATCGCGCCCATTGGGAGCCGGTTGCTGATTGCTCGGTTCATACGCCTTTCGTTTGTTCCTTTGTCAAACAGGGGCCCAATGCTCCCCAGGATTACAGCATAACGTTGCTGGAATACAATGCTTCGCCAGCTTGAAGCAACTGCAATGACTTTATTTAGTGGCGAGTCACGTCCGCCACGTCACAGGGTTGTTAAACGGACATATGTGGTTTTTTATGGGGAGAACGCTTCCCAGACGAAAACCCACCGCATCCTGGAACACTGCGGGAATCGGGCAATCACCTTGCCCACACAACTCAGCACATTGATGCCACGATAACTCGTGTAACATTGTTTGCTTTCTTTGACCCTGTACAGTGGTAGCAGAAGCGCATCCTTCAGCACAGAAGGGACCTCCTCCTCAATGTATACCATTTGCACCAAGCGGTGCAGCGCAGTCACCAACGCGGGTCCGCCGTGTTTCAATACTTCAGGCGAGATCCCGTCGGCCCCAGCACACTTGCCGTTTCGCAGCTGAGCAACTGCTCTCTGCGTCTCCTCTAGTGTCAACGTGTCCGCCGGACTCGTCTTCACATCGGGCTGCTTGAGGTCGTTCAATGTAGGCCAGTCGATCTCTGAACGGTTGTTCAAGAGACAGTCAAAGTGTTTCCGCCAGACCTGCATTATGTCTGCAGTCTGGGTGCAGGTAGCGCCTGAACTACCATCGATCAGTGTCCTCAGCGGCTCCAATCTCGGTCCATACACCGCCTTCAAGGAGTCAAAGAATTCCTTGTGTTGACGGCGTTCGGCGTAGCATTCCATCTGCTTCGCCTTCTCCGTCCACCATGCATTTTTAATGCGACGGAGCTCTCGGGTCAGTCGCCGTCGAAGTTTGCGAAACTGACTACTCTTCCCCAAGTCACTGGGGTCTGCCACATGTGCAGCAAATGCTGCATTCTTCTCTGACACCAATGCGTCAATCGTCACATTGTTGTCATCAAACCAATCAGGCCGCTTACAGTTTGCGCGCCCGATGGTCTCCTCCGCAGCAGCTGTCACCTGGTCGCGAATGTGGTGCCACAGGTCGCCCACTGTGGCTATACAGTCCACATCACCACACAGGCGTGCAGCCATCGCCTTCTCCAGCTCAGTACGTTTCGCCACAGTACCGAGGGAGAGAATGTTAAATTTACGCCGATTCACGGCGGGAGTGCAATACATCGATTTACGAAAATATATGTACAGTTTGGTCCGAACCAATTTGTGATCAGTGCCACACTCAGCTCCACGCAGTACACGTGTCATGCGCACTTCACGCATATCACGCTGACGTACGATGACATAGTCGAGCAGGTGAGCGTGACCACTCCGTGGGTGCGTCCAAATTGCTATATCACTCGCACTCAGTGCAAACCGAGTGTTCGTGATCGTCAGGCCGTGAGTGGCACACAGTGAGAGCAGCCTGTCACCGTTCGCATTCGCTGAACCAATGCCATGCGCACCGATAACATCTGTCCACGCTGATGCATCACGCCCAACGCGCGCGTTGAAATCACCCAGCAGAAATAGTCGGTCGCTCCTCGGCACAGACCGTATCACGGAGGATAGCTCAGTGTAGAACTGATCACGCGTGTCATCAGGATAACACATGGTCGGACCGTACGTGCTTATAAAAGTAGCAAACTTACCTCTTCCGAGTCGCAGGCGAACAGTCATCAGTCGCGCGCTGATGCCCGTTGGTTCACCCACCAGCTGGCCATTCAGGCGATCGGATATTGCAAATCCGACCCCATGTTCACGTGGTGCTGAGGCGGCGTTCCCCACCCAGTAGAATGTGTAGCCAGCACCTGCTTCATGTAACTTACCTTGCTCAGCGAGCCGAGTTTCACTGAGCGCCGCAATATCGATGTGGTAGCGCGCCAGCTCCATTGCGACCAGTGCAGTGCGTCGCTCCGGGCGCTCGCTCGAGTTCCGGTCCAGTAGTGTGCGCACGTTCCAGCACCCGATGCTGAGTGCTTTGCGCGCAGGCATACGATTGCATTGGTGGGCAATCGCACGCGAGGTGGTCGTTGTGCTTCGGAGGTTTGCTTGAGGGACTCCACCCGGAGCCTTTGGCTCAATAGCCTGACCCACAAGGCAGTGGGTGGTTTGGAGGTTTGCTTGAGGGACTCCGCCCGGAGCCTTTGGCTCAATAGCCTGACCCACAAGGCAGTGGAGAGCAGATCCAGCTCGGGAATGTGATTGCAGAGACAGATTGGGATCTGCTTGACGGCCGTCACACGCAGCCTTTGAGGTTCTGGAACAGTTATCATATGTTTTGCGACCGTAATTGGATACGCACCTGCGACCACGGCCAGACGCAGGTGGGTTTTTGGCGGGTTTGCACCAATTTGACCAGGGGCTGCCTGGCTTGAGGCGGGCAGTAGCAAACCATTGAACACCCGGAGGTGTCCTCCCACCGTCAGAGACAATGCGTGGCACTCGTGCTCTACGCCAATCGAGCATTGAGAATATAACCCGTAACCTGTTGTCTCCCATGGCTAGGTTTTACGGGAAGTGGGCCATCGACCACTTCCTAACCTCCGGAGAGGATGGACTAGGATACTGCCAGGGCGCCCAATCCTGACAGGAGAACGACTCGGGTCCTCAGCCAAAGCCTTCGATTAAATGAACACCCGAAAGGCAGCGGGTCTAGCACATGGTCAGTTAGCTGACTCATGCGGATTGGTGTCCTGGATCTTAGCAGGGAGAAGGGCGAAACCTAACTCCCACCCAGCGGTCGCCACGTGGAGGCGCCCAGGACATGAGACTATGGCGCAACAGTAGCAGCAGTGGGTAGACCATCTGTCAGGATCTAGCCACCACCAGCCTCAGCGCACCACATGCACAGCACAGCATTTAGGTGTAGCTGTTGTTAAAAGAATCATACGTACCAGACGTAAACAAAGCGGAGGCTGTACCGTATTCCGCCGCTCCTGGAACCAATAAAATTTGAGTCTAAGAAGACTTCCGAGGAATCTGTATCCCGTCACACCAAGCAACGGTATCAGTCTACTGAGGCAACTAATGAGAGGAGATTCAAGCGGATACTAAGACACAAGCGCAGCCACACCGGGGATTATCAATCGACCAACAACGAACTTGAAGGAAAACAAACAAAGAAAGAAGAGACCCACGAAAAATAAGGCAGAAACTGAGAACGAAAAATCAAATAAAAAGAAAATTATTTTTATACTGGTAAAAAAATCAGTTTAGGAGTAAATCGGTTTTGCCCAACTGCTGTGAAGAAGCATAGAAACATGCAACATCAACCTCAGCAAATATATATAATGTGTGCATGAATGCATGTTATATGCAATACTTTGCCTTTTTTTCAAACAATAATCTTGAAGCACTGGTTGTCCGCAAAAGTATAATAAGTGGTCGCTCTAACCTGCTGCAATCGAGCAGGGATGGATAGGGTATGATGCTACTGCTCAGGCCTTCCCGTCTTCTTATCCCCTTCTTGCGCTTTTTCATCCTTATCGTCCCGCTCCAACTTTACTTTTATCCCCCCATTTTCAATCCCCCAATTCTTGGCCCTCCCCCACCTTGCTTCAATAGTCGCTTGTCTTCTAGTTTCAACTCACACACAATCGCAGGGCGTCGCTCCAATCCAGTCGACAAGTCCATGTTCAACCAAGCGGACAACGTCAGTTCATCCGTTTCCCTTTGGAGTCCTCGCGTCTCGCTAAGACTGGCATGCCTCAACGTGCGCACTTTGCTACAGATTGGCCAACAGGCAGCACTTGCCCGCACACTAGAGACCCTATCGATCGATATTTGCTGTTTATCAGAAACCCGCCTGCAAGATTCGAGCTCCGTGCTTACCCTGCGATCCCCACATGCGACACTGGCGGCACATTCTCATTGCGCCTGTCTGGCGATGATGCAGCTTCAAATGCCGGTCAAGCTGGCGTCGGCATTGTTTTGAGTCCCCGGGCTGAAGCTGCCCTGATCGATTGGATCCCAGTCAACAGTCGGATGTGCGCCGTTAGATTAGCTGGTTCGTTCCATGCTACGAAGTCGCGCGGGACAAACGGTGCCTGTTTGTCATTGCGGCCTACGCCCCTACAAACTGTAGCACTGATTCGGTGAAAGATGATTTCTATCAGCAACTTCACGATCTCCTTCGTTACAGAAGAAGCACGGATACTGTGGTGTTGGCTGGCGATCTAAACGCCCAAGTCGGAAAATTGTCCTCTGATGAGCTTCATCTGGGCGGCCAACATGGTGTAGGCTCCCGTAATGATAACGGTGAGCGATTGCTACAGCTGTGTGAAGATGCTCGTCTCTTTCTCGCGAGCACTAACTTTCGACACAGCACCCGCAGAAGCGTGACTTGGCGCCCACCAGCCTCGGACCAGCCATGGACGCAAATCGATCATATCGCGATCAGTTACCGCTGGAGAGGCTGTGTCCAAAACTGTCGCTCGATTTGGAGCACGAGCGTGGACTCTGACCACGCACTTGTCTGTGCCGACCTCCGGTGCGTTTCGGTGGACGTCCGCAACGTCGATGTGAACGGATTGACACCAGCCAGCTGGCGAAGCCAGGTGTTCTGAATGTGTATCAAAGTGCGCTGACATCCGGGCTGAGTAAGCGCCCACTGAACACCGTCGAAGATCACTGGTCGCATATTCGTCAAACGTTACTATCAGCAGGCATGTCTTCATGTGGCAAATCAAATTGCCAACTAGACATTGGGTCTCTACACAGTCTCTGGAAACTTATGATGCTGCCGCGTACTGCTGCTGGGAGCCAATACAATCTCAGGGCAAAATTTTCTGCTAGCCGACGAAAGACTGCGAAACCCTAGTGGACTCATCGTGCCTCGATGGTGAAAACAGCCATCTACCGTTATTACTCATCGTTAGTTATTCCGCCTCACTGTTTTGGAGCGTTTGGGGGCCGAACACTGCAAAGCATTTAACCAACCTATGTTTTATCCTCTTTACATTTTCGGCCTCTAGCCCGCCCCCTTCTCCCTGAACCGTCTCCTCGATCCACACTCACGCGCAGA